CAGAGCAAGAAAAGAGGTTCGTGTTCTAAAACCACAGAGATGGCTCCGCTTCATCTAAGCCAACAAAGAGAGGAAGCGTAGAGAACCACTGTCCGCTCAGCTGACACGAGGTTTCTTCAGTTTCTTCCTGAACCTGGCGCCATCTTAAGGAGGTGAGGCAGAGAAGAAAAACCTTAAAATGGGAAAGAGACTGATGTAATTGGAACTGCCACATGTACCACTTACTGTTATCAGTAGAAATACAGCTTCAAAACAAAACAATATATGATTACAGAAATAAAGTTAACATTTCTTCATTCATATGAGATGAAAAATCACAAGGCTAAATGGGGCCCAATTAAGACAAATACAAGGAAAAAAATCAGAATGTGGAAAGTTAAGAGGCCAGGGTTTAGAGGAAAAATGGGAAAGAGTATTCAGACAGGTAAGATGGAACCCAGAGGAGAGAAGTGCAGTGAAATCACAAGAAAAAATATCAAGAAGGGAGTACAACTAGCTTTTAGTCAACATCAACAAGAACTAGCTTTTAATTTGGAAATTCTCTTGGTAAATGCTTTGGAGGATTCACGTTTTGAGACCACTATACCCACCAAATTAAATTCAAACACTTCAGTAAGATAATTCTACCTTCCACCATCTCCAGACTTTTGAAACTCTACCTAAAACAAGACTCATTGCAAATTAGTGAACGTAAGTGTCAGTCCTGGAATAGGCCCTAACTTGCTGGTTGACTATGATCATGTCTCTTAACTTCTTGCTTCTTCTCCTTGTCTGCTAAATTAATAATACAACAATGCTATTTCTAAGGTATTGTTGGAGTTTCTAAATTTTTGCTGTTTTTTTCCATCCATGAGTAACTACCATATTCAGTGATCAAGCCCTCGTCTTTCCTGTTTGCTATAGGAGCCTCCCTAAACTATCTCTGTATATCTCATTTTGACTTATTCAAGTTCTCCTCTGTACTTAGAAATCTCCTCTTGAAAGTGTTTCTCTCTTCCCATATCATATATATATATATATATATATATATATATATATAAAATATTATAAACTACAATGGGACTATTGTAATTTCTTATAATTCTCAGATTATCATGTATGATACTTTACATTCAAAAGACAGCCAACAAATTCTTGTTCTTTCATCATTAATTAGAGACTACAAGTATTTTCAGTTTTTCTCTCTGTGTTGTTCAATGATAGGTGCTTATGGATGCGAGTAGTTTCTAAAATGAGTGAACTTATTAAATTAGTAGAAAGAAACCACCATTCAGGTTTTAAATGGGTGGTAAAGATAAATTTCTTGTCAAACACCATTGAAAGAGAAGCTGCAATCACTCCAAATCTCACACTATGAGAATATATCTCCATCCTGTTGCCCCCAGTCTCCCTGGAATCTTTACCTCAGTTCCCCCATGCACACAGGTATACTCTTTTTTCGTTTTTGTAAATATTAGTTTAAACCTATAGCCACAAAATTCTAATAGTTTGTGAATGAAATGCAAAGTTTTCCGTTGATTCTCTAGATTTTTTGCAGCATGAAGTTTTTTAGGGTTCACCCTTCTATTTGCTGTTGAAGACCAAAAAAATGTACATCCTGGACATGTCTGTGCTAATTTTTCAATATATAATATCTGAAAGTAATGACTGTGTGCGTCCAACACATTGCTGACGACACCGAAACACTCATCCTGGTTTTGACTAATACAGTGCTACAAGCCTCTTTTTATTACAATATCCTTTTAATTATCAGCATTTAAGTAAAAATTGTCCCTTGTCTAACTGACAGTAATTCTTATTATTCTCAACTTGGTCCTCTCTTTATGGTCTCTCATTTTGAACAACAAAAATTAAGAAGGTTAACATTCTTCAAAAGCAATGTTTTGCTTCACTTTCGCAGTGGGTAACCACAGTACACAGGAGTGAACTTTATTAGTGAAGATGTTTCTGTTCTTTTGAAATACGTATTTGAACTTGTCTTTAGTAGTCTATTATAAAAATTGCCGTAATTAAGAATAAGCTAAAAATGTGAGACTAAATAGGAGATTTAATTTTTCTTATCAATTGTTTGCTTACCAACCAATGTGTAAAATTCTAGTAATTCATCATAGATCTCCTCATTGGTGCTGGAAATTCATAAAGTTTCACAGAACCCCCTAATTTCTCTTTCTTTTGACTAACATTTATCATTGGATTGTGAACTGCATCATTGATGTTAACTGCTCTGGGAGGATATGCTACTATATTTGAAATGAAACAATCATAATACTGCTTAAGAAAAAAAGAGAGAACATTTTACACCTATAATTTTTATGGCAGCACAGTGTAGATGCTTTAAAAAATAATTGGTACCCAGTGAGAATGCCAGTTAACTGTATACTTTCTTTGAGAAAATACAATAACATTTCTTTCTTCCTTCCTTAACAAAGTTACATCTCCCTTTTAATTGATTAATCTTAAAAGGAAAATTATCAGTAAACTTAAAATAGTGCACGAGGAAAAGTGCATGGCTTTGAAGTAGTAATATAAGCTTTGCTTTGAAGTTCAGCATTTCTCTATGTCCATAAAACACTGAATCCTCCAGGAGGGCACTTGTTGAAGTTCACTAGAATGGATGATCAGTAAATGTGTATTAAGTGCATGACTGAAACACAGATTGATGCTAATTCTAGTTGGACAAATTAGCGTTAGTCAGCAAGATGCATCAACAAACTACTCCTCACATAAGAATATCTCATTTTATATAATTGATGCTATCTCACAATTTCATACTACTTCTCAAAGTTACAAAGTATTTTCAAACACATTAACTTATTTAATTCTAGAATCTTCTGAAATAGGTATATTTTATTCCTAATTTAAAGGTTAGAGTTCCACCTCAAGATCCTCATAAACTCCTCTCTTGATTTTCGGAGCTGGCCATGACCTGAGAGTTAGATTTCTATAATTAAATTGTCACTCTAAATACATTTGGGATAATGATGAATGGAATGATACAGTATCTGGGATTTGTTTCAAAATAACCTGGGAAAAGCAAGGAGCAATAACTGGATGGGGATATAAATGATACAGGTTTAGTGCCAAGTAGCTAATTTGTTGAAGGTAGAAAATAGGTAGAGGAAATATACTTTGCTTTTAAATTTGAAATTTTCCATGGCAAGTATTTTTTAAAAGAGCTAAAATGTAAAAAATAAATATTTAAAATGATCTTCCCCCAAGTGTTTTGCTAAAAAGAACTTTTGATATAAGATTTCAAAGTAACTCCACCCACCCTCATATTGGCTAGAACTAGAAATTGGTAAAGTGGCTTTGCAGTGCAGAATTTAGTGAAGGCTCCACATACTTAGACAGAAATAGCTAAATCTCTTGCATTTTTAGTCTACTAAGAATACTATATTTGGGGAGCAATATAACCTACATAGAAAGATGTGTCTCTCATTGTTACCTATGCTTTACTAAGTCAGGCTGTGCTCAATGAGAGCTCTAACTTTAAATTATATGCCCCTAAACATACGCCAAGGCCTTAGAAAATCATCATGGCTTGTTCTGTGAAATTATAGCTAAGCTTGGCACTTAAAAGGCAACAAAGATGAAAGAATATTTCTTCAAAAAATTTACACTAACTCTTCAACTCCTGGCTTCCAAATTTCTTCAGACAAACTCACTAAACAATAGTACTTTTCTTCTTTTTAGAAAAGAATTTCCTGAAAGCACTGTTATTCAAGAAACTGGGACTACCTCTTCTTTGAAATCAGTATCTTACATAATAATTTTCTGAGCTGAGGTACAAAATTCTTAGGATCTTGGGAAAGAATTTAATGACTATACTGGCCAAAAGGAGGAGGAGGAGGAGGAGGAGAAGAAAAAAAGAAAAGAAAGGAAAGGAAAGGAAAGGAAAGGAAAGGAAAGGAAAGGAAAGGAAGAGCTGTATGATCCTATTGCCTCAGGCCCTGTCATGGTTTATGTTGGTGGCCCCCAGGCCTCATGCATTTGCATTGTGCATTTGTGATTGGTTCATTGTCTGCCACTCGGATTGGGGATGTGAGTGCTACACTGGCCTCGAAGTGGAACCAGGATGTAATGTAATGACAGGAAGAAGGCGTGTCTTACTCCTTTGCCGGTTTCCGCCTTGCTGTTTGCAGCCGCCATGAAATGGGGCCCAGCCATTCCACCCTGCCTTGGAGCCAACTAAACATGGACTGAAACCTCCAAAAACTGTAAGAAATAAACCTTTCCCTTCCTAGCTTTGGGCTTCAGGTATTTTGTCTCAGCAATGAGTAAAAAGTAACTAAGACAGGCCCCACCATCAGTACAGGAGTAAAGAATACTTCCTGGGTTGAAAGGCCCAATACCAAGACCTTGCTGGGGGTTCCCAGAAGAGTAGATCATGAACCAAATTACAATTAAGGGCATGGAGGAAGAAAACTTAGGTCAGCAACAAGAGCATGTGTAAGAGCCTTACCATTTGTACGTGTGAAAGTTTGTAGTTTTCACATCCTCTCTATAGTCTATGTTTAGAAAGACACTTGAATATTAAAATAACCTAAAGGTTACTGGCAAGAAAAACTTAGAATTTCAACTTGAAACTAGCAACAACCTCATCACTACACACAATAAGGCAGGCAAGTATATAACACCAATAAGAAAATTTTAAGAAAAAAATTTATTCCTTTCTCTGAATTAACTCACACTTTCATCCATGTTCCCAAAAGATGAAATCAGATTGCTAAAGAATTAAAGACAAGCATTCAGTACTAGTTATACCGAGACCATAATTTAAACTTGCAGAAATACTAAAAGAACTTTTAACTCCTAGGATTTTGCAATGTATAATAAATTTTGAATCTGTTTTATGGAAGGTCAGTTACATTAAGCTATTTTAATTTTAAGACATCAAATAGTTTTCTTCTTATAGGTTAATTTTCCTTAAAACAAGCAGGAATAACTTCAGGACAGCCTATCAGAGTGTACTGCAAAGAGATCGAAAGAGCTGGACCTACGTGAGAAAGCAGAGCCAGGTCATGGTGACACGTGACAGCATTCCTGTTGGCTTCCATAAAATATCTCTGTGTGCGCCTCCGTTCCCGGTCCAGTTTCTTCTCCAACGCTAGCTGGGACGTAGACAAGTTGTCTAAATACTTCATCATGACCTCTGATATCATCGCACTGACTTCTACAATGTCCGGACGGGCTTCCGCATCAGGAGTGAGGCACCTAAGAGAAGATAAGCTAATTACAAGCTGTGATAAAATATATATGTAGTAAATATTTAAAAACTTTATTACAGTAAAGGACACACTGTCATTAATCTCTTTAAAAGTACTGTTCCTTGCTTGGAACACACTTTATCTTATCATTCTTGCCAGTTTCTGAAGCAGTTTTGGAAGGTTTCTTTGCATGTCTTTAGTTTTGTTGTTCTGGTTGCCTTAATGTCCTGAGCCAATCCAAAATGTTCACCTTGTCTGGCCACTTTGGCTTTGGAGAAGAGCCAGAAGTCTCACGGTGCCATATTTGGTGAGGTAGATGAGGACACGTGTCATGTTTTTACAAGCCTAGCTCCCTACTGAATGGTACTCTGGAGTACTGTTCACTATAAGTTTGATGTGAAAGAGAAATTCAAGAACCACTTCAAAAGTGGCAAAAATGGTAGGGTCGGTGTGACTAAAGTGAGGGGAAGGATTCTGAGGGAGATGAATGATAATGTGTCGTCCACTGTATTTTTTAAATTTCAACACTGTCAGCATATTTTGATACTCTTTGTATAACATTAGTTAATGCTGGGATAGAATCAGGAGTGTGAAGGGTCATGGTGATGCTCCATGTCTACTATGCTATCTGCACCCAAGAAAATGTAGTGTAGATAGGCATCAAACACAGCTTTCAACCCAGGCTTCTCTAAAGAAATTGGGACAGCTGGCAGAGCAGGAGGCAAGATTACTTCTAGGTGGCAGACAGGAGTTACTGGCTGAATATGACTGTGCTCCTTAGGTTTCAAGAGAGGAAGGAGGATGAAGTGGTTTTCACCTGTGTCACCTGTGCATCCTAAGAGTAATGCCAGCTAGTGAACAAAGAAGGATCAAGAACAGAAGTGCTGATGATCATCCTCTCTTCAACTGAAAAAGGGAAGTTCTAGAGGGGGCAGGGTATGCTTTTTGACCTTTCAAACTGCATATTGCAATATTAACAGGATTTGATTTGTGAGAGTCACACAAAATATAGTCATAAATATAAAAATACAGCAGAGTTGCACAGAGGTTTAAGAAGCTTATGGTATCAAAAGATAATCTTAGAATTAATTTTAAATTGTAGGAGTTTATTGGACATACAAAAGAGTAATTCACAAGCCACGACACTCTGTACTGAGAGTGAGAAGCTGGACTTACACCATAATGTAGGAAACATCAAGAGGATTATTTTGGTCTTTTTGTGGTTGGTCACTGAACATTCTCATTCTTTTTTAAACAAACAAAGCAGCTATTTATTTGGAGTTTTTCTAAAGATTGTTGGTTGAATTTTACTAAATCATGTTGCCACCACACAAAGACTTTGTTTTTTAATTAATAAGGAGTTAAATTTTCATAAAAATGACTTAAATTTTGAACACAGTTATGGATAGCTGGGATTGGAGTATACTGAAAATGTGGCCTCAATTTTTATTTTTCTTTTAAAAATATTAATTCTGCTTAAGTAACTATTTTGACATATTCATGCTACTATTTTCCATAATTTGGAGGTTAGGAAATATCAATCAGTATATGAAAGAGAGTATTGTTCATATCACAGCTAAATACTGCTAGAAGGCTATTATTCTCCAAGCCCGTAAAACCAAATATCAAAATCATATAAGTTCTTCTGGCAACCACTATAGCAGGTTATCACTTTAAAATCAAACTCTCTAATTTTCATGTGCACTTCTCAAATTTAGCTTGTTTGAATTTTAAGGAAAATACCTTTCTCATCTTGCATATGATTTAACAATCCATACAAAGTTAATGCAACTTTCAATTAAACTGTCTCCCTCACTACACAATTCTTCTTCATAACAGTCGTTGAAATACGACGCTGCATAATTTGATAATGATTCTTTTTTATTGAGTTTGTTAACCATGAGTAAAATACACAAGTCTTAATCAAGTTCTAAAACATTAACATTTTATGCTCTATCTTTATGCTTTTTTCTTTTTATGTTCTAAAGTAATGGATTTGCATTATGATTATGACAGACATTTATACATCTGCTGTATTCATATTTAACAAAGTTCATTCCGTGCATTTATTATGTACAAACTTAGCCAAGTGATTGTAGAGACAGAGCCATCTACATAATCTGTGGGTGTCACCCACAAAATGAAAATGAGAGTGGAGAAGTCAATCTCCCCTTCTTACAGCAGGGGAGCCTTACCCCATCTTGAGGGAAAAAGGATGGCCCCTAAGAGATTACAACTTCTGTGTCAGTGGAATGCACTTGGTGCATGAACTGGAGACAAAGAAGAAGTTACTGCCAAATGGCCTGCCCAAGTACCAGTATGCTTGCCAACTCCATCCGAAATGACCTCTGGCTGGCCCCCAAGACACAGCAGGGTATTTCTCCATGCTATTTCCTAGCCTCCTTCCACATCCCATTTGGAGAGGAAGGTAAGGTTAGTATGTGCCTCTCCTGACACAACCCAATCTCAGGTGGAGGACAGCGGGGGTGATGGGATGCGGGGAAATGGAGACAGAGGTTGGGGGAAGCTCAGGGGACCCGAAGGCTGATGGCTGAAAACTCATGCCAGAAGGCAAAGAGATGAAAGGACTTCACATGACCCAAAACTCTAAACCCACAGCATATGTTCCTCACCCCACTGAAATTCATTTCTACAACACAAATTCAAATACAGAATTATTAAGAATTTCAAGATTAACTGGGAATGCAGTCCAGCAGCACAGCACCTGCCTGGTAAGCATGAGGTTGTGAGTTCGATTCCCAGTACAAAAACAAACAAACAAACAAACAAACAAACAAAAAAGCCAGAAACAAAGAAAAGTTTCAAGACCTCAGATACAGAGTTTTAAACCCTGAAAATAGAACCATTTGAGCACAGGGACATAACACTGGTCATTGTGAAGCCAATACATATGTGATAATGACATGCTTTTATTTAATTTTCTTACTTTTGTTTCTTAATCACAAAAGAAGCTAAGTTGCTGGTTTTTGAATTTGAATTAAATTTTGTTCTTTATCAATTCTCTAATTAATAATTACTAATTTTGAATTAGTAAAATTAGTTAAAATTGATAAAAGTCTTTGTTACCCTAGTGCTGGTTATGACTGCACGTGAGCAAACAAATCAACAAAACCCCAAGTATTTAAGTCTTTCATTAGTGTATTTTACGACTATTATGTGACTTGAGAGAATATCAGCAGTTGGATCCTCAGCTGAGTTTTTAATCAAATAAGTAACATATACAAGTTTTACAAATTATGCAGTAACAAACAGTGTTACAGTAAATGACAGCAGAGTAACCTCTGCCTCCTGGCACATTTGCTACTGTTACAAGATTTCTCCCCACTGGGTATTTGACATCATCTGAAAAGGCAAGGGTCCCCATCCAATTGTTGGCTAGGACTAGAGTCCTAGCTCATTGCTTTATTAATTATTGTCTTGAGTGCACGATTTAGCTTCCAAGTGCTAATAGCCCATCTGTAAAACGGGATACTAATTTGATCTACATCATTAAACTGGTATGGTGATGACATGAAGTAATTTCTGTAGAGCATCAGCACATTGTGAAAGCTCAATGCACTGAAAAGAGAGTTCACTCTTTTATTTCTCTTCCATTCCCTCCCACATTTAATAAAACCAAGTCCTGTAGCTTCCACCTCCTAAATGCTTCTCGAGTCCATATGCTACTCCTATAATCCCATGACTCCTGGGCTATTTCATCATCCTTTGCTTGCACTACTGAAATAGTCTTCTAGATATTGTGTTAAGTCCTTGTCCACCTCTGATTCATACTCAAGTTGCTCCAAAATATTTGTAAATTTACCTTAATCACTCTCTTTCTCAAAATTCTTCAATAACTTCTCTTACCCACTAAAGTAAATGCTGAGAACACTACGTAAGATCATCTCACTTGAACTGGCCCGGACCTCCCTCCATCTTTCCTGGCTCTGTCCCCTAATAACATACCAAATGTTCTTTACCTGTACCTCTACAAACAGCTCAGGACTCTCCTATGCCCCACCCCCACCCCCCGCTCCGCTTCTTTGATTATTAGTCCACCTGTTAGATATTTTTTTTCCCCCTGATGGCATCATTCCATTTCCCTCACATTACCCCTGATGTGCTGGCCAAAACCCCACACTGTTTTCCAGGTCTCCAGCAGGAAGACATTTTGGATTTCCTCAGACAGACTTATTGCCCCCTTTCAGATGCTCTCATTCTATTGTCTGTATTTAAGCTGCAATTATTGGTCTGTAACAGTCAGATTCACTACTAACTTAAGAACTTGATGAGGAGAGAAAGATTTTTCCTTTTACTGTGATCTTTGCCACATGTCAAGTGGAATCTAGGTCCTGACAAGTATTCAGCAAAGTGTATTCAGTCAATGAATAAACAATGCACTCAGCTTAATGTCTAAAGAACTTTCTGTCCATAACCCAAAGTTTCAGCCACAGACCCTTGGACTTCCAGGGACATCTCCAGACAGAAGTTCCAGTATAGTCTCATTGCTCTGAAATGATGCTTTGTTTAGGTGTGTCAGGGAAATTGTTAAAAATGAGTGAACTGAAATCATAAGATATGCTGAAGATTGATAGAAAATCATTGACCTGCACTTTGCTTCAGTGATTCTCAATTCAATAAGGATAAATCTTCTTTTAGAAAAAACCTGGGATGTTCCCCTCAACCCCACCCACTTAGTCCCCACTTCACTGTGAAAGCAGATAAAAAAAATAGAGAAAAGCATGTTCAACTGTACCCATTTCATGTTTTATAAAACAAAGAGTTGGAGGTGGTGAAAATGTGAAGACGCACTTGTCCTTAGAGAGCACTGCCTCTGAAACACAGCGCCAGACAGCTTATGCAACCAGGCACACAGAGGGAAAAAGAAGGCAATTGGAATATTTTGTGCGTAAAAGGAAATGTTCTTCCTTTTAAAAAAGAAAACAGACAACACTCTCAACAGGGTACTGGAAAGCAAAAATAGTAATGTCGGTAACTGGGCAGAGCAACAGGATTTATTTATTTTCTCAAACACTTAAGGGCTTCGAAGTTATTTTCTCCATTTAAAAGCCTGCTAGGAAAGAAAAGCTTAAATAACAAAATGTATTTATATACTATATAAATAAACAGGAAAAAGGAAACATTTTACACAGTAGACTTGCAAACAGTTCTGCCTGATAAGAATGTAGAAATACTAAAAACATTAGAATGCAGAAAATAAAAGAAAATTTTAATATAAATAAAAAAGAATTAAAAATTAAAATTTAGACTGTAATACAATGGAAGAAAGAATATATATATGTATATAGATATGATTGGAAAAAAACACAGTTTAAAATGATTATAGTAAACTCACTCCTCAAAGTTTTTCTTATATCTCAACGGCTCTATAAAATTATTAATAATGGGCTTTGAAGCCAACATTTGACTGAATCGCGAGTATTAAAAACACTTGAGTTTGTATATGTTCCTTGAATCAATTTCTGCTTTTTTTTTTTCCTTTTCTTTTGTTTTTTAGTACCAGAAGTCAAATGCAGGACCTTGTGCTTGCCAGGCAGGCATTGTGCAACTGAGCTATATCCCCCACCCTTGCATCAATTTCTTAAAGAAAACAGTACACTTAGAATATCTGAAAATATTCTTTAATTCCTTTACAATGTATGTTTGTGTGTGCATATCTACATGTGTTATTGAAGATTAAAACCAGGACCTCAAAGCAAGTTGCATCCTCAACCCTTTTTTATTTTTTTTTTAAATTCTGAGCCCAAATTTATGTGATCTTCCCGCCTCAGTCTCCACAGACCTAGGATTATAGGCATACAATACAATTCCTGGCCAAGTAACTTAATGTTTAAGTACAAAAACTCCAAAGCAAATTAAATATGCAATGATATGTAATTCTTGGTTGATTTTTGGCTTTATATCATTATGTAAGGATAAAACTTTGTAATACAAACCCAGACAATGAGAAATAAATTTAAATGAAAATAACATGGTACAGAATGCACCCTGCAATCTTGATTTATAGTCAGTTACAAAGTTAAATTGCCAGTTCTAAGTTATTATGGCATCTAAGTATATCTAAGTATTTTAAATTAAAAGTTCCTTCAAAAATACTTCATCCTGGGGCTGGGGATTTAGCTCAGTGGCATAAGCACCTGCCTTGCTAGTAGGCGGTCGTGAGTTCGATCCCCGGTACCGATAAAAATGAAAAAGACAAAAAAAAAAAACCTTCATCCTCAGATCCCTAATGGGCAATCATGCATCCTCTCAAACATCCTGGTGACACTGAACTCAGGACCCACCAAGCAGGCTCCAGCCTTGCAGATGCCCCTGATTTTACATACAGTTCCTAATGGTGAGCTGATGCTAAGTTCTAGCTCTGACCTTGGTTCCATGTTCTGAAGCTTCAGCAAATAAATCCAATTCTTTTCATATTTCTCGAATCATTCCACTTGCCAGGGTGTTTGCAGTCTATTTAATTCTCTTGGGTTTATCCCTCAACTGTGCTGACAACTTCCAACTAACTATGGAAACAATTCCACTTCTCTCCACTTCTTCTGTCACTGCTCCATCGAAGTCACCATCATCACTCAGTGGACAAATGGAATCTCTTCTTTCTCCCATGCTCATGGACCTCTGCCTTTCCGCTCTAGAGCATCAGTATGCTCTTTGCTAAAGAAGACATTCCCACTGTGTCCTGGTCTGTTAACCAATTCTCTCATCAGTTTTGCAGATAACAATTGAGAAGCCCAGGATGGGCCATAGCACCACACCAGCTGGCCCTTCTTACCCATTTCCTGATCTTCTCTGACATAATTAACAAGTTGTATCTCAGCTTTGTTCCCATTCCTAAGTGAATAGCTCTTCCCCTCAGCAAAGCCTGTGGAAATACTATCCCGGCAGTGTTTTCTCCAGTCTGCTTACTATTTAAGAACCACTGATTGTTCAGGTCTCAGATTATGTCTGGCCTTCACATAAACTTTCTTCAAATTCCCCTGTCCTCCTTTAATCTCTCATGAACCCACTTACTGACCTACATTCCTTTTATCATAATTTATTTATATACTTAATTCTGTAACTAATATAATTATTGTACTATTATCATTTTCATGGCATTATAATTATTATATTAATAACAGCATTATTGATATCTAATTTATTGAGCGATTACTGCACGCTAGGTAGCATTCAAAGTGTTTCAGAAGCATTATCTTCCTTAAGCTCATGATGAAGTTACTAATGCTACACGGGTATTACAGATGAGAAAACTGGGCTCAGGAAAGTGAAACTGAGTGGAAGGAGAATCAGAAACCAATTGATCTCAGAATCTACTGATGCTTCTACCCTTTACACTATGATCTTGCTATCTGACTCCTTCGCTAGTTTAAAAGTCCAAAGAAACATGTGCACAATAGCCAAGGAATCTAGTAGAAGAAATCATAGCTCTGTTGCTCAGTTTCACAAATTTGGAGCAGTATCTGAGAACCTTTACTCTGCACTGCACTACTCCACCCCTGCCTTTTGTGACACACAAATAGTTATTAGAAAGAGAAATTAATCAGCCAATACAATACTTTTGTCTTGACATCTCTGGAGACTTTCAATTTTTTAAGGTATTTCTCAAGAACATAAATACGAAGAACAAATTATGGAGATAAACTGTTTAAAGGCATTAGTCTGGATACATTGGCAACAGAGAATGACCCAAGAGGTGGAATTTAGATGCTTTAGAGAGAAGTTTCAACTAATGTCCCATAAATACTAATAATGATAATTGCCAAAATTGCTAACGTGCTTAACATTTGCTGAGCTCTGTGTCACATGGTTTCCAATGTTCTTTGGAGAACCATCACATCAGCCCAATGAGGCTAGTTCTATTACGATCTCATTTTCTGGATGAGAAAGCAAAGTTGTAGAAATCCTTTGCCAGCATCTGGTTAGTGGGACTTGGCCCCAACTAGGCCTGTCTCCAGAGCCTGGGGCGGATAATGTAGTGTTACTCCAAACAAAAAAGTCTTTAATAAATAATCTTACAAACAGGTGAGGAGTACCTATGAGCACAAAACAGTGAACTGGGAGGAGAAACCAAAGAGAAAGGAAAATAGCTATAGGAAGATGCCAGTCATAATCTACAGGAAACGGGGCTACTTGCAAAGATAGATACTAACCCAAGGCTTAAGAGGCCTGAGAAGGGGTATGGAAAAGGATTTTGTCTGGGGTGACTAGGATTTCTGTAATTTTTTTTTCTTGGTGTTGGGGATCGAACTCACGGCCTTGCCTTTGCCAGGCAGGCACTTATACCACTGAGCTAAATCCCCAGGCAAGCTTTCTGTAATCTTAAGTAATGAGGGCTTGGTTTGTCTTGATGGAGCAGAAGAAATTATCTTGGGCCAACTTAAATACCAAAGAATGGTCCAAAGATAGCAATCAATCACATAAATGAGAGTTCTTCATTCAAACAATAGTGTCTATTAAAATTCTATTCTGTGACAGACAGCTATAGGCACTGAAGCTGTAAGAACCAAGGTGACAAAATTCTTTCTTTTGAGTTCACTTGCTGTTAGGGAAGAGACAGTCAGCTGACAAATAACTGTGTGTGCATATGTATAATATTTTGGCAGTAATGGGTGCGAAGTTTTATAAAGCAGGCAAGGGAGTTAGAGAGCCCCGTGACGTGGTGGAGCTATCAGGATGGGCTCCCTAGTCAGGGGACATTTCAGCAGAGACACGGGGAAGTAAATCTCAGTATCATTCATATACCTGGGAGGAGGGAGTTTCAGGACAAAGGCACAACAAGGGCAAAAGCAGAGAGAGAGGCAAGAGCATAGAGAACTGGGGGAAGTGGGAGAGGGGCCAGGTGAGAGACAGGGCAGCAGGGAGAGCCCTGTGGAACCAGGCACACTGGCCAGAACTCTGCAAGGCCATGGGGATGATGACTTTCATCAAACTGCCAGAATGAAGGTGACAACTTCTGCTTTTCTTTGACAATGTATTATAAAACATATTACTAACTTAATAAAAGGAATAAAAATGTACCTATAATTTTATCACCTGCAGGGGCCTTTTCCCATTTCATTCATCTTTGTCCTGCCCTTTTCTGTATTTGTGCATATTTTTACAGTTTCTTTCATAATTACAAACTGTTTTACATGTTGATTTATTAATTTAGGTTCATATTACATACCTTTTACAGGTTGATATGAAGCCTTCCAAATAAATATTTATAGATGGCACGTATTTATTTTTGGAGAGGAGAATTAGGAATTGAGCCCAGGACTTTCACAACTGGCTACATTTCCATCCTTTGTTTTTTGTTTGTTTGTTTGTTAGTTTGTTTTGAGACAGGGTCTAAGTTGCCCTAGCTGGGCTTGCATTTGTAATCATCCTGCCTCAGCCTCCCTAAACTCAAATATATTTGTTGGTGATCCTTATATGATGAAAGTTATGAGACTAGTTACCTGCTGATGGTACTTGCCACTTTTTCAGAGTAAATACCTTCTGGTACTGGTTCATATACTGCCTCCACTATCTGCAAAACAAACACAGTGATAGGAGTAAAAGGTCCTTGATATCTGACAGGTAATACACCTGTATGAATATATGAAGTTACTAATGACAGAATACAGCTTCATGCACAAAATTTAACCACAAATAAAACACTGCAGATAAAAACTTAACATCAATTAAAGAGTTTTAGAACATGGAATTAGATTATCTAAGTTAAAGTTAACCTAAGGTTCACAATATGATGATGTATGGGATAATATACTATATTGACTTGAGGGCAGCCACTTTTTATGCTTTGATTTTGTGACGGGAGCAGCTACTTCTAAAACAACAATGTGTAATTTATCACCTAGTGATTTCTTCCTTTTTTTTGGAAATTCTGTAGTATTTCTACCCTTTTTTCTGTTTTGCTTTTTTTCTCTAAATAAAAATAAGTAAATAAAAGGTCCAAAGCATTTTGATATATTTATTTTTCTAATTTTCTATGATAAACTAATACAATTAGAGGAATGTGCCATACCACATGATATATATTTAGCAGGGGGAAAAGCAAGCTGAGTCTTGCAGTTAATAAAACAATGCCTGCTTTTAATTGGAAGTTGTATAAAACTCACAAAGATTCTATTCAGAAGAAATGGCACTGTTGACAAAAGACACTTTTGTACGCTGTCACTGCTTACTTTTGTAGCCAAGGAGAGCATGTTGGTGCTGTAGAAGGGAGGCCTTAGAGTTGCCATCTGATAGAGGATGCAGCCTGCAGCCCAAACATCAGCCTTCTCCCCATATGGCTCACTCTTCAGTACCTCTGGGCTGAAATAAAACAAGGAAGTTAATAGATACTGGGGAAGGGAGAAAAGCACAGAAAGAAGATTTTACTTCCAAGCTGTTGTTGGAGATATTAAAAACAAACTACCTGAAGTTCTTAATCACTATTTCAAGTCAACATATTTAAAAGTACCTCTAAAATTTCCTATCCTCAGATGAATTGAGAAGCAAATCCAGTTGAGTACTAACTAGCAATAAACCTTTCAAATAACCTACTATATGTCTAAGGACTTGCTTACATCTAAAAACAACTATCTCTGGGGCAGATGAAATTGTTGTCAGCTTCAGATCTATCCTAGACAACCTATTAGCTTGAAGCCCAACACCTACAGACCTGTAGGTCAAAGAATAAAAATTACTGTTCAATGGCACATACATTTATTGATTAAAAATGTAGCATTATTATGTAAAAACTGACTGATATGGCCTCCTCCTGTTGCTATTCAACTTGAGGTGATAAAGCATGGGGGAAATTATATTTAAATGTTATAGGAAATGAAAAATCTCTACCATGTTTTTCTCTTCTGAAATTGTCACACAATTTAAACAACCTTTAAGAGAAGTTAATCTGTGAGGAATTATGGGATTATCTCTTTAAATTTTATGTAGAAGGGAGTATATTTTTCTTGGCTATTTCATATTAATAGAAGTTTTCGGTATTGTAATTGTAGAGTGAAATTCAAGTAAGAACTAAAAGCACTCAGCACACGCACACACACACACACACACACACACACACACACACACACACAGATATACTTTGGATCTTCAATGTTCTCCAAAGGCCAGTGTGTTCAAGACGTGGTCACTAGCCCTGCTGCTAGTGGGAGAATCTTTTGGAGGTGGAGCATAACAGAAGGAAACTGGGTCACTGCAAGTGTATCCAGCTCCTCCCTCTTTTCTCTTTGCTTTCTGATCTCCATGAGGTAAGGAGTTTCCTCAGGAATATGCTCCCACCATGATGTGCTGCCTCATCCCTGGCCTAAATCATTAATGGAGTCAAAGGAAAGCCACCTACCCACCTCGCCATTCTGAAGTAGTAACAACAAAGCAATTGAATGAGGCTTCAGGAAAAATCAAATAAAAATAATTTCTCGCTTAACTGCAAAGGTGTCCACAATGAAAACCACACTTTGAGTGACTCTAGAGCAAATACGGATGAAAAATAAAGGCACTTAAGAAAATTATGGAATCCACAAATGCTCAGCATAGGAAATAAATGAAATCAATAAGACAGATTCAAGCAGATATCAAGGAGAATAAAAATTTCACTGAAGGAATTCACAACAGATTAAGCCAGTGTAAGGATAAGATCTGAGACATAGAAGAAAGGCTTGTGATTAGCAATCATGAAAAGAAAGGTTTCTTTAAAAAAAAGCAAGGGACTATAAGAAATCAATCCAGCAACTGCTAGATGAAGCAAAGGAGAATAAGTTAATACTAATTGGTGTCAACAAGAAAATAGGAGATAGCACAATGATACATTTTTTAAAAAAACTGTTCACAGACCTCACAGAAGAAAATTTCCCTGGTAGAGAAAAAGAATTTGACATACAGATAAGTGAGGTATATAGAAAGAAGGAAAGAAGGAAAGAAGGAAGGAAGGAAGGAAGAAAGGAAGGAAGGAAGGAAGGAAGGAAGGAAGGAAGGAAGGAAGGAAAGAAAGAAAGAAAGAAAGAAAGAAAGAAAGAAAGAAAGAAAGATAGATAGATAGATAGATAGATAGATAGATAGATTACAGCCAGGCACATCATAGTCAAGATTCCAGAAATTCAACACAAGAATAGAATCTTAAAAGCTGTTAGGAAAAAGGAAAAAGTTGCCTATAAAGGAAAGTCCATCAGAATCACAGCTGACTTCCCAGCACAAACCCTCAATTCAAGGACAGCTTGAAGTAAAATATTTCAAGTTCCAAAGAAAAACAACCCAGATTGATGAATCCCACAAAACTTTCAAAACTGAGAGGAGGAGCTGGGCGGATCCGGAGTGCCTGCAGAAGCCCCTTCCTTTGTCTGGAGAACTGAGTATTTCTGCAAGCAGGGAGGGATCCCAGGTTCCTGAGGCACCTCAGCCTGTGGTGAGTGCCCAGCACAGTCTGCCCAAATCTCAGACTGTTCCGGACCCCCCAGGCTTCTGGGTGCAGTGAAGTGGAGCAGTGGGTTAGAGGCCACTATAGCCGCCTCCCCATCCCGGCTACACTTGGAGGTCTGCTGAGCTCCCAACGGGTGGGCGGGCCTACACTATCCCCCGAGCCCAGCAGCGCCTAGCCATCGGCGTGCAGAGGAGGAGCTGCGTGGATCTGGAGTGCCTGCAGAAGCCCCTTCCTTTGTCTGGAGGACTGTGGATATCTCTGCAAGCAGGGAGGGATCACAGGCTCCTGAGGCACTGAGGCCTGTGGTGAGTACCCTAACCCGGCTGCGATTGAAGAGCTGTGGATCTTCCAAGGAGCAGTTGGGCACACAGTGTCCCTGAGGCCCAGCTTGTCTGGAACTGCGGAGTTCTGAACAAGCAGAGGAGGGCCATTGGTTCTGCAGGCCCAATGGCTTGGGGTAGAGTGGTGCCAGAGTCTCAGTAGCTGCAAACATAGAAGGGGATTTTCAACAGATCCTGAGGAAGCTTTCAAATAACAATTGAAACACAGAAATATAGGAAAATGACAAAATGAAAGACCAAATTACAACCTCAAACCTCCAGTCCATCTCAGGAAACCCTAGGAGGAATGTATTTAGAAGAAAATATATCCCATCCACCTCATATATCAGACACAATAGCTACTGAAGTTGACAAGCAACTCCAGGAAGCTTTAAAGAAATTCAAACTCGAAATAATATCCCAGATAAAAGAAGAAATGATAAAAGAAATGAAAGAGATTCTAAATATATCTAAAGAAAACACAGATAAAAAATTGGAGGAACTAAGCAAAAAGATAGAATCCCTAGATGAGCAATATAAGAAACAAACAGAATACATAATGCAGATGCACAGAGATATACAGGAAATAAAAAACTCCACTGAAAGTTGTAAAAACCGCCTTAATGAAAGTGAAGATAGAATTTCAGACCTTGAAGACAGAATCGCAGCTAGTGAACAGGAAAGGAAAGATCTTTTAAAAATAACAAGGAATCAGGAAACAACAATTCAACAACTGCAAGACGATGCAAAGAAGAATAACATAAGTATGATAGGGATTAATGAAAAAGAAGGAGACAACATAAAGGATATCAAGAGGATATTTAGAGAAGTAATAGCTGAAAATTTCCCAAGCATGAGATCAGAAACTGACATCAGGATCAGTGAAGCATATAGAACTCCAAATAGTCATAGCCAAAATAAAACTACACCCAGACATATAATAATCACCATCCCAGAAATCCAACACAAGAATAGATTATTAAAAGCTGTCAGAGAGAAAAGACAGATCACTTATAAAGGAAAACCTATCAGAATCACAGCAGACTTCTCAGCACAAACAATAAAGTCAAGAAGAGCATGGAGTGAAGTATTCCAGATCCTAAAGCAAAATGATTTCCAACCTAGACTGATATATCCTGCAAAACTATCATTTAAAATAGATGGTGAAATACGATACTTCCATGACAAAGAACAGCTGAAGAACTTCATGAACACCAAACCAACCCTGCAAAAAAAAATTGAAAGACAGTTTAGATACACAAAGGAAAAAAACCACTAAGCAAAGCAAATAATTAAACAGAACAGAAAGATAAAGATGCAACAGCAGAGAGATAAGATTCCTACAATTAATCAACATTTAACAGTAATAACCATTAATGTAAATGGTCTCAATGCACCATCCAAAAGAAACAGACAAGCAGAATGGATCAAGAAACAAAATCCAACCATATGCTGTTTACAGGAAACCCATCTAACCCAGAAGGATACTCACAGACTGAAAGTCAAAGGATGGAAAACAATTCTTCATGCACCAGGAATCCAAAAAAAGGCAGGAGTAGCCATTCTGTTTGCAGACAACGTGAACTTTAAACCAACAATGACCATAAAGGATAAAGAAGGTCACTACATACTCGTAAGGGGAAAACTCCAAGAGGAAGAGATAACTTTCTTAAATATATACGCACCAAACTCCAGAGCACCCAGTTATATAAAACAATTATTAACAGAAATGAAAACTCAAATTATCAGTAACACAATTGTAACAGGAGACCTTAATACGCCATTGACACAAAGGGACAGATCAACCAGACAGAAAATGAGCAAAGAAATAACAGAACTGAATCACACCTGTGAACAAATGGGTTTGATAGACATATACAGAATGTTCCACCCAACAACATCAGAATACACATTCTTCTCAGCAGTACATGGATCATTTTCTAAAATAGACCATATATTAGCTCACAGAACATATTTAAACAAGTACAAAAGAGCTGAAATCATCCCTTGCATGTTATCGATCATAGCGCTCCGAAATTAGAAATTAACGATAAAAGATACTGCAAAAATCCCACAAACACATGGAAACTGAATAACACATTCTTGAGTAATCAGTGGGTCACAGAAGAAATTAAAGAAGAAATCAAACAATACCTAAAAGAAAATGAAAATGCAGATACAACTTACCGGAATCTGTGAGATGCAATGAAAGCCGTCCTGAGAGGAAAATTTATTGCACTGAGTTCCCACATCAGGAAAACACAACGAATACAAATAAATAACATGATGCTACACATCAAACAGCTAGAAAAAGAAGAGCAAGTAAAGCCCAAAGCCAAAAGAAGAGAGGAAATTATAAAAATCAGAGCAGAAATCAATGCAATAGAGACTAAGAAAACAATCCAAAGGATCAACAAATCAAAGAGTTGGTTCTTTGAAAGAATAAATAAAATCGATAAGCCCCTAGCCAACCTTATTTAAAAAAGGGAAGAAAAAGCTCAAATTCATGCAATAAGAAATGAAAAGGGAGAAATCACTACAGACCCAATAGAAATACAGAAGATCATCAACAC